TGACTTATTTTCTCAGGTATTCTGATGGTAAAAAAGGATTAATCACCACCTCTCTGAGGTCAGTAATGAAATCTATGTATTTTTAAATAGTAAATATTGGCTGATTCTAGTACCCACTGATGAGAAGCCTGCAAGGAGAAGGAGCACTGAATACAAGTAGCTGACTGGAAACACATTTTCTCAGACATAACTCCACACTATAATTAATTATAACTCTTTTTTTTAATATTTAGGGATGTTATGGCATAAATTTATTAAGGAGCATCTCTGCTAAAAGGGTGAAAAGACTCGAATCTCAGGCTGAATAATTGCATCTCTGGTGTGCAGTGCTCAGTAAGAGTCGTGGGGCTGCCGTGCACCAGCAGGAGTTGCAGAGTGAGCGCGTTCCTGCATAAAGTAGTGCAGATAACCCCAGCCTAGACAGCAGCTCACAACTCCAAGAGCCATCAGAGTCATGGAATCTCCTCCAGAAAAGAAAGCCTGCCACAGAACAAAACTGACACGCTGTAAAGCAGCCTTGGTAAGTGCATAGCCTTTCTGGGAAGGCAGGAAACAAAAACATACAAAGTTTTAGAATGGTGGGCAGGGAATAGGTGGCCAAAATGAGTTCATAAAGGCTGTTGTGTGAGGGTGACCTTTTTTCATGTGAGATCTTTTCAAGTATTTGACATGTTTTTCAAAGGCACATATTTCTCTAAAAAGCACTGGTAGTGAACAAGCTATGCCATTCAGCTTTTGGGTATCTGTCTTCCAAACTTCTGGAGCTTAATTCAGCCACATTTTCCTGAAATCTCCCTAATTGTATGACAAGGCTTTTATAGTGAAAGTGAGATCTTTAAAAATATTCATTGCTTCCAAAATAAATGCCTCCAACAGTGTTCTTGGCCCAGAAGAAAGAAATAGGATATCCACTAGTAAACATGCATATGTTTTATTTAATCTAACAAAATACAGAGAGGCTGATATTTTCCAAGGTATCTTGAGAATTTTAAGTTTTTACAATTACCACTAGGCCCTATCTAAAGAGTAAGAAAGGGATTATTATTTTGGCTTCTCAGATTTTAAACTGGTGTGATTAAAATGTGACTTGAATAGAAATATGGCCTTCTTTCTTATATTTGACATCATAAGCCTCTAAACCAGCAAATTTCATAAGCATGCACTTTCTTTGAGATATATCACTAGTCCCACTACTCACAGGCTTAAAATTAAAGACATGTTTAAATTCTGTTTTGGCTAAGGCCCTAAATTAAAGCTGATTCCAGTTAGGTGATTGAAGTCACGTTGAGCTACCAGGAACAGAGACAGATTCTTGTTTAAGCTTCCTGAGCCCTGCTGAACTGAGACTCTGATGTGCCTTGGTATTAGATTCAAAGCTGGCATAGAAAATCTAACTTAGAAGCCCCTAGAAAATCTAACTGGAAGCTCCTAGCTTCCAGTTCAAAGGCATCATTCTTCTGTCTCTTTTTAAATACTTCAAAAACATGCAGACTTCTCTTAATCAGCTTAAAATATGGCAGTGTCATATAAAGGGTGTTTTCTGAGAATTGCTCCTGCCATTAAATATTAACATTACAACACTAGTATTGCACTCAGAGTTATACAAAGAAATGTGAGTCCTAAGGGCCAAATTCTATTTTTAATCCCATTTAACATGAAGCCTGAAGGAAAGGTAGTGCTCTGGGATGCCACAAAACAGCAGCATAAAAGGACATTTGGGGTTTATTCTGTCACAGTTTGATATTTAGTACAACTGGGAATTTGTTTCCTGCTGCCAAATTCTGACTCTTCAGGCTCTTCTACATTAATATTCAGGTTAATTTAAAATTAAAGTTTATCAGTCAAGAAGTATAACATAGGAATCTATAATTGTGTTTAAACTACGTTTTGATGCACGTGAAGTGTGGCAGCCTAACTATATCACTACACACACAAATCCCTAGTTTCCAGTTGAAAACAATAAACAGTACATGCAAATAAACAGTGTAATGCAGAGAACACCCACCTCAATTTCTCAAAACATGGCCTGAGAAGACAAATAAAGAACAAGAGAGAAGACAAATGCAGGAAAAGACTTTCAATATGTCTTATCCAAGTTAAGGGTTCTGTTTCCCAGGATGAAGACAAAGCAGCCAAAAAAATATATAATCCCCAGTGTTTTAGTTTATCTGTTTGTCAGGGAATTCCCTGTTTGCTTTACAAAAGTTGGTAATATTCACAATATTCAACTTGTAACTCTGGAAAACAATGAGTGATGAAAAAGCACTTGGTCTGAAGGATAAATCCAAGATCCTCACTACTGAGGTGAAGATCAGTGCTCACTCAGTGCTCCTGCAAAACTTTAATGCTTTTTCTCAGTCAGTGTCTACTCAATTTAAAATATAAAAAATTTAAAGAGCAGAACTTAAATGTTTTCGTCTCAGACCACAATAAAATGGTGAAATACCAAATTTCTATCAAGCAAAGATTCCCAATCTTTTGATTCAAAAATTTCTCTATGGCTTATCTTTTTGGTATTTGAGAGATTTAACAGTTTCATGATTAAGTTTCTGAGATGACCTGATGTATTAAATCAGTTTCATGATGAACAAATATCTGGTTTATGATAAATATAGATTTGTCATTAATAGAAATACCAATCCAGAATCAAGATTCCATCACATTAGCCATTGAACCAATGGGAAGATGCTTCCCATCAGAACTTACAGTCAGTATTAAGCAGTTAGGTGAAATACACACATAAAAGGAAACTGGGGCAGGAGAGAGAGATTGTGGAGGGAAAAAGTGAGTAAAGTGAAATACAAATTTAACAAAAGTTCCCAAGCCTTGGCTTGTCACATTAGACCCCTCTCCTACACTGAAACCTTTAAAGTGCAAATCTTAGAGTTAATGAGCCTTCACTAAAAGGAAGAGGTTTGGGAGTTTTTTAAAGCAAAAATAAACATCACCAAACCCCAGCATTTTTATACTGCAGAAACCAAGCTAAAAATTTCTACAGGTTGCAGAAACAGTGCCACTATGTAAACATAATATATCACTGCTTTCCTACCCCAAATAAAAGGAAAAAAAGAAGATGAACAAATAAGGCATATATAGCAATTGAATACCTTTGGTTACATACTGTGATGGGTTAAATATCCTTTTGTCCCACCTTATCAACTTGGGTTGTAAGAAGGTACATCCAGGTCTGCCTCACGGTCAGCTGCAAGACCGTGCTTGATGCAGTGGAGTCAAAATATCACTTAGTCAGACTAAATACAATAAAGTTACCCAAGATGAGAGAAACCCAGGGTGCTCTACACCCCAGCCCCAACATGATGGCTCAACTCTGCCTACACTTGCAGTCTCTGCCAAGGGAAAAGGAGCCCACATACATCAGTGTTGTAATATTTTATAATCACGTTAATGTATGGAGGAAAATCTTCCTGAACAGCCTCTGGCAGCACAAAATAACTATGTTAAGGAAAGGCAGTTGCAAGGGTGGATAGAAAAAAAAAAAAGGGTTGAAAATTACACTGACAAAGATTAAAATGCTGCCATGGATGTGGAGACTTTTCTGAGTAATGCCAGGAAGTCTGGATATGTTCCCATCCAGAGCTGCTCAGAGCTGCAAGTCTTTTAAGCACAACTCCCTAAGGAATAAAACTTGTGAGATAACTGGTAGAATAACAGTGAGAAAAAGAACAATATATTCGCAAGTACTGGGAATGGAATCGCCATAACATTTGCCATCCTTTTATTGTGTCAAGTTTACACTTTGTTCCCTAATCTTACTGAGAATTTCATGAGTAAGTGTGAGACTTGAGTGAAGAATGGTTGTATTTGATCTGTTGACTGCTGTGTAAGACTAAGATAAACAATGGATTATTCAGTATGTCCTATTTCTCCTTTAACTTTTGCATGTCTGCCTTCTGTGGGGCCTATATAATTTGCACAAAAAACCAACAAATTCAAGAAAATTTACTAAAGGAAAAAAAAAATAGAGCAATAAAAAATAGAGCTGAGTTGACTCTTAATTCCAACGACAGAAAGTCAAGGCTTGCCGTGAAGGCACAGGTTACCACTGAAGCTGCAGCACTCCAGACATACAGGAAATCCTTACAGCTGAAATCAATGAAGGGTGTTCTCCCAAATCCTGTGGGATGAACAGCTTGCCAGGAACGCCCCAGCTGCAGTGAGGCTGAAGTAGTCAATCTGATCATGTGAACTCTACCTCCATCAGAAAGCCAGTGGTCCTGCTCTCAACCCTGTGAGATTTGGAAAGAAAATGAGAGCAGAGGAGGGGGGGAAGGGTGCTTTACTATTCTGTTTTTCCTTCCTTGCCCTTTTTTTTTTCTGCTTTTCACCTACACATCACAGCACTTGTAACTCTGGTGTAAAACCAACAAGAGAAGCTGAAAACAGGTACCCAAATCAATGCTGGCTCTATGTTCTTAACTGGCCTATTAGAACACAGGCTGTGCTTGAGGTCTTCTGCTCATGAATGTCTGAGTCAGCACCTCAGGCAGATGTTGCATTTTCTGGCTTATTTCTCTTTCCTGACCTCTTCTTTGAACATTTCCTCCTGTGGTCCACCAGGAAACATGATAAGAGTGAGTAGCAACAAAAAATCTAGGAAGTCCAAACCAGCTCAATTATCTTCTCTTTTTATCCCAGAAGAACTATTGCTGTTTTTCATATAATCTAAAAGACAGTTGGAGAAGGGAATTTCCCTATAAAAACTCATAACAGATAAAAGGGAGAGGGATAATGTTTAACTACAAGTTTTACTCAATGTTGCAAGCAATTTAACCATTTTCCCTTGGGTCTGTAATCAAAAGATAGATTTGTAATGACAGTTATTGCAATGGGAGTTTGCCAGCAATAACTTGAAACAAAACCCAGACCATGCTTCACTGTTTATGCTGTAACTGTGAACATGGGTTATGTTAACATCTTATCTTTTGTTGGGCCCCAGTCACCCTACCTTCAACACAACACTGAGGTGACTATTGCTAAATAAGAGTAGAGCTAGTCTGTTTTCTGTAGTTTAATATCACCATATAAGAGCACATCCTGAGCTGTTTATAGCTTTGCTAAGGTTTAACCATTTGCACATTTGAAGCATTCCCTGCTGTGTATACCTCAGAGACTTTTGCCGGGGAAAGCGTCAGCTAAGGCACTTCAGCCACTTCCAAGAAATAGATTTCTAAGAATTTTGATTAAAAAGTGTCGAGACAAGGAGTGAGGCAAGATGTGATACTGAGATGACTGGACAAGAGCCCAAAGGGCAAGGATCCTGTGTAAAGAAGGGTAAGCAATTACAATATTTATCATAATGCACACTCATAAGGAGATTTAATTAAGGTGGCAAAGGGAACTTGCAATTCTTGGACTTCATAATTTATGAATGCTTGACTTGGAATGTTGATACTGTTATTTTAATGTGCTGTTTTGATATATATTATTTTCTAAGACATTGCTGTTACAGGAAGAAGCAAAACAGTTCTCTTCATTGTGAGAATGAGTAATTTAGGAGGTTGTGAATCTTTATATAGAGTTCAACTTTAATCTGAAAATGCCATGTCCACATACTAGTTCACTGTATTGAGAATGCATGCATGGTTGACAAGCTACTGAGGAGTGTAGTGCCACTTGCAAGTAACCACAGAAATACAATATTTCTGATATACTCTCTCCAGAACAGAGGATCACTCTTGCATAAATTTTTAATATAAAATTAAATTATGAAAAAAGAAAACTTTAGTTTTTTGGATGTCTAAGAGAAATCTTATAAAACAATTTGTAAATTATGTCCCTACTTAAGTAAACTTTTGACAGATCTAGGCAATTTGGCATGTCTTTTGTTTATAAAATAGAACCTTGAAAACCTTCCCATGTTTTTTGAATTACATGGTTAAACAAAAAGGTAATTCCTTTTTCCAGAATGTTGTCTCTCTCATTTATTTCATAATATACTTACACTGTAGAGAACAAAAAGGGCACAATATTTTTGTGTCTAAAACCAAATGAGAACACAGCCCCCATAGGACTGAGCTTCCCCATTTTCCACTCATTGCAAGAGACTTAGCATTAAGGAACTAAACAAAAAAAAATATCATGGTATTTCCAGGAACAAAAAAATGAAAGCAATATCTTTATTCCCATTATCCTAAATGGTTTGTTTTCACTAGAAACAAGAGTGTTTTGTTTCTATATCAATATGCTTTGTAAATAAAGACAGAGAGATGTAAGCCATTATTTAATAAATAAAATCAAATCTCTGAGGAACTAGTATTCAAGTGTGGGTTATCAGTGTAAGGAAGAGAGAAAAATCTAGGGCAGTATTTTGTGACAGGAACAAGAATGCGAATGCATTTTTTGTTCAGCCTCATGTCAGATCCACTGACTTCTATGGGTGATAATTTTCACAGCTCTGAGATATTTTTAAAAAAGCATTTCCACTCAGTAGATATGTTTAATACTTTCAGTCACAGGAGTGAATTATTAAGTAGTTAACCAGTAACAGGACAGCTTAACTGTCAGTGTTTTAGCAAAAAATAGAATTAAAAACAGGAAGTCCACCACTGATAAATACCCAAATACCTGATTTTTATTGTATTAAATACTTTCAGGGGGGACTAAAGAGTAATGAATTTAGTTCTGTATATGCACCTTGGGATAGGCATCTGAAATAAATAATATTTGCAAAAATACAGACCCCAGGTAGCCACATTAAGCTTCTGCATCTGTCCAGAAAGAAATTCTGAAGGTCTGATGTACTTTTTTTTTTCATTTTCCATAATTTTGTGCATGTCTGTGTCAGAACACAGAAACTGCTGTCCTGTTGAGCCAACAGCAGCAGCTGCAAGCGTTCCTCGATACATTCCTTGGTGAGCTGAACAGGAGTCTGGTGTACATCGTACAGGACAGATCCTATTTGTCTTCACTATTTAAGTATTTATTACTCCTTGTGCTGCTCTTGCGCTGCTCTTTCCTCTTCTCTATCTCCAGGACAAAAGAAATCAGAGAAATGCCCCTTTGCCAATCCTCGTCCACCAAACAGGCCACATAAATGTGTTTGCCTCACATGCCAAAAAGAAAGAGTGTAAGGCTCTCAAGGATGCCAAGTTCAGGAACTCCTCCAAACTTCCCATGCATGAGTTAAAGCAGTAATGGCCAAATGAGCACTGGGTGATGAACAACCAGTGAGCCAAATGCAATAAACAGCTGCCAGTAGCATAAGAAATTGTGAAATGAGTAAAAAGAAAACCAAAGAGAATTAAAGCTTCTGTGGTTTCCAGTGATCATAGTTCAGAGTGCTACTGCAAGGTGGAAGTACTTCTTGTTTTCTTATCTGCTTAAGGTCCTTGAGGCCTCACAATTATGCCATTGCTTTCCACAAAATCTACCTGAACTGACACAGTTTTCCACTAAAATGGTTAAAGTAGAAATACCATAAACTTCATTATTTTTCCCAAAGCACTTTGGTTTTCAGACCGCTAGGATCCTTGCTAGACAGCTAGGAACACTGAACCGCTGTCTGCTCGTGGAAGTTACATTACTGCCACAATAACGCAATACATTATTTCACGGTAGATGTGTATGGAAAATCTAAGTGCCATCCTGCCTGTAACTCCCTTGCTACACTGAGTGCTTTTTGTTATTCCATGGTATTGCAGAGTGGTGCTGTACACAGACCTCTTAGAGCCTTTAGTGTGAAATCTATCTCAAAGGCAGATGGTAGTATTTTCCTGTGATCATTGAAAGATGAAAGATAATTTATTTAGTTCACTCTCAGGTCTCTAGGAGTATCTGAGCTACTCAGTTCATCCCCACTTCAACAGGAAAGGGGTACATCTCTCCCATGGGTCCCATATAGTATCAGCCAGTGTTGTTTGGATGTCTGAGATAACACAGGGAAACTCAAATGTTTCGCAGGTAACTAAATCAGTCCTAAAATGACTCTTATAAATCTAACACTGAAATGTTTGTCAGTTATTAGATTCTTCTTTTCGTTCATTTTGGCCTTACTCCTGTGTTCCACTCCCCCATTAGTCACGTCTCTTCTTCAAATATTCTATTCTTCAAATAGATATTTCCCTCATATCTAGGTCCTCAACTCCAGTAACTGGCCACCAGTTCAAGTCAGTTCAAGTTAATGTGAAATACTGTTCCAGATCATACAACTGATATGTGTGTGTGTGTGTGTGTGTGTGTGTGTGTGTGTCTGTTCCAGATCATACAACTGATGTGTGTGTTGCTGTTCAGGTACCAGTGAAATGCTGAATTAGGCTGTGAATGCCTGTGGGAGAGTTACATGTTCATGCTCTCTCACAGAAGGCAGTGCAGGCAGACATGAGCCCAGAGTCTCTGCCCACTGTATCTGGTGGAATATGGCATGAGAGCAGGGTAAAGTACAGGTCATATGGGGTACAGCTCACAGATACTGACCCAAAACCAGCCAGACCTCAGTTGTCTTGATTATGAGCCTGTTTTGCTTTTGATAGTACACTGGAAAGGGCCAACAGCTCAAATTTCTTGCCTAATACCACCAGCTTTTTTTTTCAAAAGACATATTTTATTTTTGTGATTTTTTTTTCTTTCAAATGTAAAAATATCTTCATTCTTTAATTACATAGTCATCTGTATATTTTAAGAAATTACTGACTGACTTTCAAAAATACAATGTATCAATTTGGCTAGCTAGCTACCCTTATTTTTCCATCAGTAAGTTATCCAGCATACTAACACAAAGTAGTAGTCTTAAGCATGCAGTAAAATAAATGGGAGCAGTATCTTTAGCTGATGAGGGAAAGGAAGTTATTTCAAAAGATGTAATTGATGCAACATCTTAGAGCTTCCTGAATTAGTATGTTTTTAGATTTGATTACTGAGGACTGTGTTTAAGAGGTGGTTTCAAGGCACTTGGCTAAAAAGCTGTTCCAGATGTTGTCAGTTACACAGTGTGTTTATTAAGCCTTTTTGTATTTTCCATTTCAGTGTGTGCTAAACTGCTGGTTTGTTTAATCTTATTCTGATGTCAAAAGGGTTCAATGGCAACAGAGACAATGGAAATAAAAACAGATTATGAAGACAACCACACATCCAAAAGAGCCTTTAATTTTATTACAGAAATTTCATCCATTCAGTCAACAAGTCATAAAACCACTGGACCAGATCTTTATAAGACATACTAGCTATAATGCACTTGCAGATATACAAATTTGCAAGAGCAGGCAATTCTCTGTGTTTGCAAAGGGTGTTCACTCAAAAATGTCCATCCTCACAGTCCAGGATATACGCAGATGTCTTGATGAACTACTTGGATTTCACAGACAGAGAGCATACAGGCTGTGAATGTGCAGTTGTGAAGACAGTGTAAATTAGGGTTGCCTCTCCAAAGTCACAAAAACCATGATGCAGAAGATTGGATGCAGTGTATCTCATTTATATGTCACGTGCTCTACAGGTGCAAGTGATTATCCCTACAAAATCATGACTGAATACTCAGTGACTGTATTTTGAAATAATAAAAGCTGAACAAATAAAGATTAATTATAATAGTAGTTAGATGTAAAGAAAGGGAAACATTATATATCCCTCCTCTAAAAACAAAAATCCCTGAATTTCCATGACTTGCAGAGTTGCTAATCTTTTTAGTAGCTAACACCAGTCAATACTTTTTCTCTTAAAAAAAAACACAAAAAAAAGGCTGAAACTTGCAATTTAAAGATTTCATAAATGTTCATGGCTGCATAAATGTTCAAGACTGCTAAAAACCAGGATGCTGAATATTAATACAGCACCCTCAAATACAGGGAAGAAGTTTGGCTATGATCTTTTTTTAAGACCCTCCTGTGAGTAAAACCAAGTCTGCTGATACTCATGTGAAAGTTTTAGGCAACACATACTCCACATTACATCATTTTAATGTCTTGCATCATTTTTTTCTGTGATGGATTAGGATTCAAACAGTAAAATCCACTTACGGAATTTTCATGTGTGGGAGAATTGACTCTTCATGTGTGGGAAGATTTTAACCTTTCTGAAGAAAGGGGGTAAAGTTTACTCTGCTTTTAATTTCAGAATAATTCAGTTTGAACTCTTTGGGCCCAAAGTTTTGGCTTAAACCAATACTTAATTTTCATATATTCTACCCAGATTTAATCGTAATTTACCAATGGAAACCAATCACATGGATATTTTAAGCACTTGATTCCTTTAGAAATTCTGTTACCCTGCACTTCTGAATAACCATTTTTCTGCTTACCCCCAAAGACAGAAAATTAGGTCAATAGTTCATGCAGTTT